GAGGATTGCAGTGTTCGATTTAGTGAAAACACGTTGGTAAGACACTTTGTTTTAATTTTAGCTGAGATAGGGTTATTTTCTTTATAGTAGCTAGTGAGACTTTGTTTTGGATATGCTACGAATGATGTGATAACGCAATGATGTTTTGGTTGTTGCCAAGCAATGTTTACACTAAGTCAAGGCTGGGCTGTTTCTCAGTTTTCACTTGACCTCCCAGCCTCTTTTTACAAGAAGTTGAGAGGGGATGTAGCCAGGACAGATGACCCTAAGCTGGGCAGCAGAAAATATTCTATACTGTAAACACTATAAATTGAGGACTTTGCTGGGGATGGCTGTCCTTTGATGGCTGCCGTGATGACAGTGCAACCAGTGCTGAATCAGGGCTAGTTTTGTAACAGTGTGAGAGCAGAAGGTGATCTGGAGGAAGCTTACAGGTACCAAGAGGATCGCTGGCATAGGAGTTAAACATATTAAAAAATCCTATTTTAAAACATCTTTTCAAGAATAATCACACACAGAATCACACAGAATCAAAGAATCGCTTGGTTGGAAAAGACCTCTGAGATCATCATGTCCAACCGTTCCTGTCTACCCCCTAAACCATATCCTTAAGTACCTTGTCTACCCGCTCTTTAAATACATCCAGGGATGGTGACTCCACCACCTCCCTGGGCAGCCTGTTCCAGCTTCTGACAACCCTCTCAGTAAAGAACTTCTTCCTTATCTCTAACCTGAACCTCCCTTGGCACAGCTTGGTGCCGTTACCCCTTGTTCTATCCTCCATCACCTGGGAGAAAAGACCAGCACCCACCTCTCTACAACCTCCCTTTAGGTAGTTGTAGGTGGTGATGAGGTCTCCCCTCAGCCTTCTCTTCTCCAGGCTAAACAACCCCAGCTCCCTCAGGCACTCCTCATAAGGCTTGTTCTCCAGACCCCTCACCATCCTTGTGGCTCTTCTCTGAACATGCTCCAGAATCTCAGCATCCTTCTTATAGTGAGTGGCCCAGAACTGAACACAGTACTCGAGGTGCGGCCTCACCAGTGCCCTAATGACACATACGTGTAATAAAGTACAAGTTACAGCCATGTCCAACAAATACTTTCAGTATAAGCAGGAAAAGCAGATAAAGAACAAAGCAAGAAGTACCTCCCCACCATGATGAGCCGCGTGGCTACACACTCCAGTATGTGTCCTCCATTGTGTACTCAGTCTTTTATTTCAAAAAGCAAGCAGACTCTGTCACCTTTTACTCTCTTTGCTAAAAACAATGGCTATGGGTCAGCCAGGATCTGTGTGACTTGAGACCACGGTATCACATCTTTGTTTCTGTGTCCAGCAACATCCAGAGAGGAATGTTGGAACTTGGATGTTGTTGGTCCAAGCTTTCCAGCTCCTGCTAATCAGGAATTTCCAGAGACAGGGCATAAATAACCAAAACCAAAGTTACAACAAACTGTAAGACAGCAAAAAAATAGAGCCTATACTCTTGAAGCTTTAGGGCAATGCTTTATTTCAAAAGGCAGTGGGAGAGGGCAGAACAAACATGAACTTTGCAGTTTATCTCAGTGTGAGTGTGCAAATGTTGCTCTTCTCTGGGGAGATGAAGAGACAGTGGAGGTGAATTAGGGAAAGAGTTCTGCTTTCAAGAGGAAGGCACTGTTATAACCCCAAGTATACAAGGGAGCAAAAACTATTGCAGAAATAATAGTGCAATTTAATCCTACTTAATTTATGAAATTTTAAAACATTGTGTTATAGCTTCAAAAATAATAATATTAACAAGAATTTATACCAAGTTTTGAAGAACTCAAGGCAGATCTGAAGTTTGAAAATGCCCAAGTATCTTTTTTAATGCTCTATTTACCCATTCAGTCTGAAATGCAAAACTCATTTTGCTTAAACCCTCGACTCTCACATTTTCAAAAGCCAGTCACTTTGTACTTCAGCACGCACTGTAGGACCTGAGCAGTTCTATAAGTTGCTCATGGTTTTTCTTTACACTTTACAAATAAGAAGCCAGACAGCAACAGCTACGGCTGTTTTTCCTGGTGAATAAAACAAAAACTTAATATGTTTATGGTCAAATCACATTATAATGTTTTCCAGATGCATATATCTATTTTTAGGGCTACTAATGAATCTTTATTATTTGCTTTCCTGCAGAATTTCATACGATCCCACAAGATATCCTAAATACATTCCTGAAGCATACTGTCTGTGCAAAGGCTGCCTCATGGGGATCTTTGGCGAGGAGAATTTTCACTTCCGCAGCACCCCCGTGTACATGCCCACAGTCATCCTGCGCCGCACATCCTCGTGTGCTGGGGGCCGTTACGTCTACACAGAGGATTACGTTACTATCCCCGTGGGCTGCACGTGTATACCTGAACAAGAAAAAGAAGCCGAAAGCGTAAATTCCAGCATAGATAAGCAAGAAATGAAGTTGCTGGTAAGCCAGAACAAGCCATCATCAGAATGAAGAATATATAGAGAGAGAGTTGTGTTGTGGTATGGGCTTCATATCATCATTTCACCACCTCAGGAAGCTGCACCACAGCAGCAAATGCATCAACTTACCCTCTTTTTCTACTTACAGTTATTTCAGTGATAAGATGGAAAGTTTTGTCCCATTGCTCAGATCATTATAGATGACAATGCATATTAAGAACTTCTTTAGTCCATGTAAGTATTTGTCACAAATTCCAATGTAGCTTTTTTTTTTCTTAGAGCAGAGCATTTTATCCTTGCTTATTGACAGTAAATTTTAGAAGATGATGCAGCTGTAAGACATGCTAGCTATTACTATAGCAGACTACTGGTTGTAGATATTTTTAAGGAGTCTCTTATTCTGTACTTTTAAATACTGTTATATATGAATCACATAGCTGTCATACATATGCCAAATCAGCAGTTAAAAGGATAATTTCTCAGGCTGGGAGAGCCTTCCTTTATATTGTATATCTCAACTCCAAGCAGTGTTCTTGGCTGTTACATCTTTGGCTGTTTAGACAGTCCAGCAAGGAAATCTTTGCTGTGTTTGAGTCATTCATGAAACAAACAATATTCTACAAGTCTGCTATTTTTAAACTTGCCAAATTTCTAAGGTTTAACAAAAAGTGTTAAGAAAAAGCACGCTAGACTGTTGTAAAACTGCAGTGGACTTTTCTGATGTGGACTAAGTCTAATGGCACAGAAAATATAAATTAGAAAAAACACAGCTTGGGTTAGATTTCATTCATCATTAACTGCATAACTGTTCCTTGTGACAAAACTGTATTCTGTACAGTTGAAAGGACAAAATCTTTTTCACGTAAGGAGAGGAGATTCACCATTAAAAAAAAAAGTTTGTTGACCAGACTTTGTCTGTGCAGTACTAGTTGCTCTCTGGGTATGGTACAGAATAATAGTTTGCCTCAGCCTTGGCTACTAACGCACAATCTGAGTTTTTGTTAGAATTTGGCACTACTGGAACATTTTCCCTGCTCACTGCAGGGGGTTGGACCAGATGATCTTTGAAGGTCCCTTCCAACCCAATACATTCTATGATTCTAAGTATGAAGGATAGGCTTAATCTCAGGTACACTGCAGAGCAGTAAACAGGCTAGGTCTTAACTTCTAGATGCTACAGAGGTCATTGAGGTGAGTCCCAGCCAATCCAAACTTTTTAAATCCAACCGATTTACACAATCGGTGTTATTAATTTTTCCCTATGTAACAGTCACTTGCAAAAGCTGCTAATCTGTGGAAGAGCAGCCTTCCAGCTTTGCATCTTACAGGAACTTGATGGCAAGCCCCAGCAAGAAACCCTGATACACAAAAACTTGCATTTCCAGAACAAAGGACTGAAGGCGGACTCAGTCTAAGGAGTCGTAATCAGGAATAACCAGGCATACCTGGCAGGAGCATAAAGGGCGACAGTCACCAAAGTTGATCAATCTCTGACTGCACAGCAGAGAGTTTTATAGTTGAAGGATCACGAGTGCAATACCATTACAAAAAAGAATAAACACCATATGCAGCAATGTATTTGCTACATCAAGAATCTTAAAATTTGGCATAATTCATAGTGGACAAAGTCCCTACACTACACAAACATGCACTCCTTTGGAGTGTTGTTGGATGAAGAATGGAAAAACTATGAATGAAATAGAATTAACAAGTTAAATGGCGAATGAAAAATCATATGACAACTCATTGTCTTGGTGCATAATTATTGACTGTGCTCTTTATGACTCAGTCTAGTATAACAGTGGTTTTATAGTGCAATCTGTATAGCTTCTTAAAAAGCCTAAAACAACTTTAAGAACTCCAGAAATTAATAAAAGATTCCCATCACAATGGCAGACTGAAGTTTATAACCATGTTTCTTGTGCAGATGCTTTTCCACAATTCTACTTGTCTTCAGATTCCTCAAATTGTGATGCTTCTGTCTCAAGGGGATTCTCAGATGAGGGTTCAAAGAAGGTCATAAAGTGTTTATACTACTCAGAGAACAGCTAACTGCATAGCTGCTGCCAGCAATTAAAGGTAGTTACCTGATCCCTGGAGACTGTAAATACTTGCAGCAATTACATCCACTTTTCCTTCTTCCTAATGTGGAAGAACTTCTCACCCTCTGAGAGAAGGGGAGATGGTAATCGAAGACAGAGGGGCTCAAAAGGGAAGCGGACTCACAAAACTCGAGAAACACTGCATTAGATAATGCTTCAGCAGTCTATAACCTCTTATGGTTTCACTATTAAACTGTGGGGTTTTTTTTTCTCAACGCTTCAGACAGAGTGAAGTTGGACCTTCAGCCTCCACAGCATAGAAAGCAAAGTCTTCTCAGTAAAAGGCAGTAAAAAACCCCAACAATTCCAAACCACACAGCCTTTAACACTTAATAAGTACCCAGCAGGGCTACCAGCTAAAGCTCTGCCTAAACACTGCCCTCCAGGAAAACTCCTCTGTCTGCACACACACTTTTGTAATACAAATTTGTCTGCAACAAATTAGTTCCTAGAGCACATGAATTTATTTCTGTGATGTGGAGGAAAAGAAAAAAAAAAATCCTCACTTTTTGTTTCAACCCTGTTGTCCCGCAGGCATAGAAGTCAGTTTGAGGTTTTCAAGTAACTAGAGCACGGGCTGCGAATTCCTGGAGTCGCAGGCTAAGCACAGGTAAATGGAACACAATTGGTGTTACCAGTGCAGAGGAACAGATGCTTTAGCTTACACATAGCTTCAGGAATTGGATGGCTGAAAGGAAAGTGTTAGAGAGCTGCAAAACCTCAATGGATCAATAGATTATGTACCTTGGCGACCTCCTTCTTGTCATACTGCAGCAAGTACAGAAAGCTTCCTGTGGCAACCTCATGTTATCTTGCTCAGAAGCCCATTTTCCGTTTTTAATCCTCACCCTCTTCTGTGACAGACTTTTTAGCTGAGCCAATTTGCTTCCTGATCCAGCTTTCCAGTTAGGTGTCTCTTAAAAGCTATGTTTATGTTTCAGCGTGAGCAACTGTTTGATAATAATTTGTTAGTGAACAACTGTTTCTTAATACTTAACATCAAGAACTGTTAGCTACACAAACATTTGTTAACCTTCAAATATATCCTTCCAAATAGGAACACTCTCCACATTACTCTTGTGGAAAAGTTTGAGTATTATTTGCCTTTGTTTGGAATTTTTTTTTAAGAAATCATCACATCATGGATTTATATCAGTTTCACTTCAACTGTGGTGTGACATTTTCCAGCTTTCAGCCCTCTGGTTACAGCTGCTGCAGCCTTGCCTTTAATTTGCATGGGGGTAAGGGGGGGGGGGCGTTCATTGGAGTTGCTTCAAGGCTCAAGAACTGTTGACACAAGGCAGACATGAAATGCCTCATTGAACCAACTCCAGGCCCAATAAATGCAAACAATTCAAAGCTGAAACTATCTGACAGCTGTGGCTGATTTGAGAAATTTTTTGTTGTGCCAGGAAAATCTTTTCCTTCAGTGAGGTTGTCCCTGGAATACATTAGGAGCCACGAAACACAGAACAATATCCTTGGTAAAGAGATTATTTTCTTCTCTGTAGTATCACTTAATATAGGTTGGAAAATTTGTCTCATGCAGGAAGGCTGAGAAAAGCCCAAAATGCTGGTTTGGTTTACTAGCCAGTCGTTACATGAAGGTGTTTGAATAGATGGAGGCCTACAGCCGCAAGTAAACATGAAATTGCCAGCAGGAAAGGGAAAAGGATGTGCTCAGAAAGTATAAACACCCGTTACTCTTGCTGGGATTAGGAAACGGACATAAATACCTGGATGAGAGCACATGAGGGAGAGCCAGTCAATCCTATACATTTTGCTGAGCAGTAGCATGATCTACCACTTGGTTTTGCTGTTCTTCCTTCTAAGAAGGGTGCAAAACTTGAGTACAACCAGAGTGGAGGCACAGCTGATGAGGCGCTTCTGTAACCCCAACCTAGCCACCATGTTTTCCATCTCACTGCACAGCACCGGGGCAGTGCCCTGCAGGTCATTAAGGGAGAGTGACAAAACCAACCATCAGAGATGTTCCCTACTTGCTCTGGTACAGAGCAGTGAAGGCAATTGTGTGGCACAGAGCTGGGCTAATGGTGCAACACGGAGCTGAGAGCAACACCGTTTTTAACAAGAAGTGTGGATTAGATCTTAATGGCAGGAGCACTTCTAGAAATGTTTCATTTGGGAGGAGATGCTGACAACTGTAGTATATTCTCTTCCACCTACAGCCATTAGTCTGTGCACAAGACCCCAGGTTTCCTCTGCCAAGTGTCACCCTCATCCTGACAGGGCAGCGAGGCGTCCTGCTGCTGCACATATACCTCAGCAGTCACAGATGCTACTGGAAAAGTGGTTGGTGATAACACTTCACTGCAGTCTGTGCCAACATAAAGTCCACCCATGAGACTACCACAACAAAGCAGGGGTTTTTTTCATAATTCTATTTCAGGAAAAAAAATGCTGTCACATAATATTTCTTAAAGTTAGTGCAATGGCACAAAGTACAAATTCATTATGAATTTTTGTGTCATGTAGCCTTCTCAGAAGCACAGCTCCTTCCTTGGAAACAAGCACGACAGAAATAGTTTACCTCCTGTCATTGATGAAGGCTGTGAATGCCACCAGTCAGGGTCTGGCTGGGCAGCTGCCTGTGCACACCAGGCTTTTAAGAGGGAAGCCGGTGGACTACGGGCTGCTGTGTTGAATGCATCTACACAGATTTACATGTACCCTCATTTTTGTAATCATCCATCTTCACAGTGCCTCTTTTCAAAGCTGTCTGACCTACATGTGAGAAACAGCAGTTATTTTCTTGGTGAACTGAATTTCTTGGTACAACTGAATGGTCTATTTTTTATTTTTTTTAAGAAAGATCTCTGATGAGGTTAGCAAAGTTGGATTTGAATTCTGATATAGAGAGCCCAACAACACATATTTAGCAACATTAGCAGACAACTGAAAGAATTAATAGCAAAGTAGCAACATAGGTGAAGTTTGTATCTGAACAGCATGTTTTAGTTTAGGTGGTGGCAGGGGGATAAATACCATAACTTCTGGTAATCATATCTGTCCCATTTTAAGTCTCTGCGTAGTTAAAAATAAGGTTTCAGGAGTTACTTCATTGTCTCCATCTGCTTGGTGTGCAAGACATTGAGGTAATAAACATGAAACAGTTTACAATCGTGAAGTATAGATTTGTGCCAATACCTATGCATTTAACATTCTGGTTTGCTTTCTTACTTTGAAACTGGTCACGTAAAAGCAATGGCGTAGCCTCCTGGAAACCAGCTGAACCCATCTGTGTGTCACCTGTGGGCTGGCGTTTTTGGGGGAATTCTGGCTTTCCTGGGCTCAGCAGCAAGGATGGCTTCTGGTTTAAAAGGGCAAAACTGTATCAGCCTTGGGCTCGCAGAGACCATCAGAAGAGCCTCAGTCTCCATTTTCCCTGCAAGCACTTCCCCTGCTGCAAATTTCTCATTTTAACGATACATATTACCAGTCTGACAGACACCAAGGCATGTGAAGAAGGAAGAAAACTGCATTGTGAAACTCAGGAAAGCTACAGAGGGAGAGGGGGAAGAAGCAGCAGATAAAAAACGTGAGGAGGGAAAAGCCTTAAGAAGTGAACAGATCTCTTGGAAACTGGGGAAGAGAGCAACAGTGGCTTGGACGGGTATTTATGAACCAGTGCTGTGTCCAGCTCAGGAAGCATGACTCTGAGCACTGAGAGCGCATTATATTCCATATAGATTATTCCTACTCATCCACCAGATGGGAAAATCTGCATCCAAACAGCACAGAAACATGAGTTATTGCCTCCACCGTCTTAAAAGTCGTCTCACAAGCTTAATGAGGCTTATGCCCACCACAAAATAAATTTATTTTTCTTTCTGTTAGCCTTTTACACAGTCCCAATATATGAATATGGTGCATAAAGACACAAAAAACCCCCATAGAGACAAGTATTGATGTTCTGTATAGTATTTTTATAGCTGATAAAAACTGTTGAGTGCCTTGGAATTTATGAACCATCTTTCACCCAAAAAATACATTACAAAGTTTAGTCAAAACTGGCTTTAAAAATTCCCAGTTACCAAAAATCTTTACCACCTCAAAGGAAGGTTTTTCTAATGTATCATCAATTTTGATTGAAATTGATTGAAATATAGCCCAAAACTTTTATATAAAAAATTTTATATTTGTCTGTTAGAAACAGTGGGAGTTGATCAATACATTGTGTTCTACCTCAGTGGCCTTGTAAGGTTCAACGATTTCCAAGATGCTTCTGTTCTGCTGCTCTGCTGCTGTCTGTGGAACAGGAGGCAAAGCTAAAACTGGGCAACACGAAAGACTGTTCCTGTAAATGCGTGTCAAACTTAACACACCTGTAAACCATCTTTAGCTTGATATTGAAATCTGTTAAAAGGCAGGCCCTCTAATCAGATCCATTGATTCACAGTTTAACAGACTAACATGTATGGGTCATGTTGCTACAGAAGCGTCTCATAACCAACAGTAACTCAAAGTGAAACCCATGAACACAGTCTGCAGCAGTAATGCAAGCACTGGCTGATGTGCTGCATTTTTATTTAGTAATACTCCATATTTCAGGTGATTTAACCTGACTAACATAGAGGATTCTTAATGAAAGTAAAGCTCTCTCTAATGGGCACAATGGGGAAACCCTTACTGTGGTTTTTTCAAGGAAACAACAGGTTTATACCACCTCTGAAGATGAGCTTAACTAGTGAATAGAGGAGCCCAGTTGTGTGGGTTTTTTTAAATCTCATGACTTTTTGTTGCTCTAACACATAAACATCACAAAACAAATGCACTGTACTTCTGCAAAGAGATGTTTAACAACTTACATTACTTTTTCTCTAGTACAGCATATCTACATACACAAGTTTATACGGTGGTATGTGATGATAAAATAGATCTTATCGTTTACAAAAACAAAGTCTGGGTTATGACAAAGCTTTAGAGAAATGGTGAAACAATAACCACTAGTTTTTAAAAAGCCAGTCTGGCAACAATAGTCAATACTAGGTCTTATCTTACTTGGCAACTGGTACATAGTTCTCATTAAAAGCAACTGGAGAGGCCTCCCCAGAAGGAGACCCATTTCCTAGTTATCCTTTATAAAAACATCAGCCTGCTGGCTAATGGATCTGAAAACACAACACATTCAGAACAAAAATCTCTCAGTCCTTTTACTAAGGGAGCATCTCTCAAGATTGAAAGCAGACCATGATTCATGCTCTTAGCTATCAAGTCACCAGTTCTGATGCAATGATGATTCTGATGTCTGTGAGGGAAGCACCTATGTGTTGTTATAAGCCAAGCAGCTAAAATCACTTCAGAGAGGTCACTGAAGAGTCTTGAATGGTAAAAACTACCGGTTAGAATGAAACTCAGAAAAGAAGTTCCCATTTTCCAGCACCTGCATTGTTTGGTCCTCATTTACCTAATAGGTACAATACAAAATACAGTAACTGCAAATGTTTGCACATTTAAAAGAGAGAGACCATCTCACTGTGTTGATTAAAGCTAGCCCAGAAAACAGAACTTCATGCTGAGTATTTCAGCACTGAGAAATGTTGAGTTACTGATAAAAACCAGAAAGGAGCTTGACTAAAAAAGTTGTTAGATCTTATAAGAATCAGTCCAGTCCAGAAGCATAGTTCACATAACATCGAAATTCATTGGCTAAATTTCGGGAGTGTTTTGGAATAAACTTGCATATCTTCACACCAAGATGCTTTGCTGCCTCTTCCTCCATGATTGCACCTGCAGCAAAAAAAATTAGTATTAATGAGAAAAACAGTAACAGGATGATTGGGTTTTTTTAATAGCTCCTCCCAAATGCATACATATGGAGCCTGGTTTTTTTTAAGGAAGCAAAGCTAAAGCATCTACATTGTCAGCCCCCTTTAACAACTGAATCTACTGGGAAATTTAAAATACATCTCAAAGAATGGAAGACATCCCAAGGAAATTAATGTCCAAGAAGTTTCATAAAAATAGGTAGAGGGTAAGATCAGTGTCTCTTATATAGAAAACTGAAATTTGAACTCAATCTTCTTGCTTCGTGCCAAAGAAATTACATGGTAGGGAGCCATGGAAGATGCAAACAGATTACATATACTCTTCCACTTAAATAAACCACAGTGCAATATTTACAGCTGCACTCTGAGAAATCACTTCCTTGAGCAGTACTTCTCAAACTTTGTAAACTGAAGGACGTCCTATCCATTTTAGGGAAAAAAATTCTGAGAACCATCCTTGTGCATGACTGCTATTTGCAATTAAACAAATGACTTTCTATAGCCATGTATTATTTTAATTTTTCTTTATTTTGACTGCTTGGTTGACTTCCCCCTTGAATTGTATGTATAGAGGCATTTTGTCCTTTGGTTTTTTTGGAAAAGTTTCCTGGATGTCTTCAGATGTCTTCTAATAACATTACAGCTTAGGAAACACCATCATTGCTCCTTAAACCAGCAAATGCATCTTCAGAAAGAAGGACCTACAAGTACAGCTGGTAAGTTATCCAGTTTCACTGCTCTTACAACTGGTTTTTAACTTCTCCTGCTGCTTTTCAGTACCTAAGATCTCCTTATTTGAATCACAGTGGCAGAATCCCCTCATACGTTCACTCACATTATAGCTTCTATGTTTACCAGTAATATGAAAAAAAAATGTCTTTAGAGAGAAAAAAATGGCTAATGATGACCTAATATTTTTATTAAGAATACCTGTGCAAAGTAGAATCTTTCCTTTTGTTAAGTACTTGATGGTCTCTGCAGTTTTTTGAAGACATTCCTCAGAGAGATAGGGTGGATCTGCTACTACAATGTCAAAACTGTGCGGCAGGAGATTTGCAGGTAAGTCCAAAGGGTGGTTGTAATCATAGAAGATAAATTCTTCTCCATACACAGAAAACCTTCTGTCATACTCCAGGATACACACTGAAAAATCTTTGCCATCCTGTTCTTTCAGTTTCTGGTACACACTTGGTGCGCTAACACACGCTATCCTGTGAAACAGACAACAACTTAGAATATTAATTTAAAAGGCAAACAACAACAAAAAAACCTTACAGTAGTCCTCAGGGCTGCTTTGGGAAACATTTAAATCATTAGTCCCAAAAATGTAAGCTACTCTTCCTCCATTCTCACAAATAGTTACTTTTATAATAGAGTTTTAAGTATTAAAACCATTTTGTATTCAACCTCCACGCTGCATGAAGACCTTAAGCTTAACTGTAGAGAAAATCTTGTCTCAGAACAGCAAGGAAATACATTTGAAAACTTAAAATTAAAAACTACTCCTTACATAAACAGGAAGAAAACATTTATTTTTTTCCATCTGTCTACAGAAACACTGTATGAAAACCGAAAATAGTTACAAGTCATTAATATGCTCTGGAGCTCTTTGTATTTCTCAAATATAAAAAGATTAATAGTAAACTTCTACAAGCCAGAGCCTACAACATTCAGTGAAATGCTAAACAGTAAGATCAGTATGAACTATTAATTAAATTTAAATAAATTAAGAAAATGAATAGAATACAATAATTAATGAAAGTGTTCCTGCAACATCTCCAGTGAACAAAGATGAAGTACAATGAGTAATGCATTAAACTGCATGCACTGTCTACATAATAGAAATGAAGTATTTACAGAAACATCATGTTAAATCTACAACATAATTGTTAATGCCTACCTGCCACCTTTTCCAGCTGCCACAACCGCTTCGTTAGCCAGGCACGACGCAGTTTCATCGCTGTACCAAAACTGACTCAGTTGCTGAGAAAGATAACACACAGTGAGAAATAACACCAAATCCTCTGGCTGTGCTACGCTATTTTCCCAATAGCATTTTTACTTCTGTAATCCAATGAGAAGCAGCCGATAGCTTACAGTGTGTGTTTCCAAAGCATTTACTGCAGTATCAGGAAAACCAAATAATACAAAATCACTGACAAAGTTAGCTCAAACTCAAAGTGCAGATGCATAATATTTATGTGCTCGTAAATTGAGTTACTTTAGTGGAAAATGAAAAAGGAACTTGAAAAGTGAGATTATAGAAGGAAATAAAGGATAAAAGTACTTATCAGAAGAGATCAGAAAGAGGGAAAACAACCAACCAACCAACCAACCCAGAAACAAATAAAAAATCAGTCTATCAGAAGAAGAAAAGTAGCAAGTCAACCATCCACAAAACAAAAGAAATAAAATAGAAAGAAATATGAAGTGAAAGGAAAGATCACTTGGTCTTGTTACACTGTGTTTGTCTCAAACTCAGGGAAGAATCTTCACTACGTTCCCATGCCAGGCTGGAGTTACAATGTCCAGAATGCTGCTGTTGGCAGCTTCATTCATTCCCTTCAGGTAATTTCACTTTGTATCCCCCCTCCCCAGGCACACAGAGAACAGAAAACTATACCCAGACTTAACATTAAAGCAAATATCCCTACAACATTACTGTCTGTGAATAGTTTGATTTTCATGCTCTAGGAACATCTTGAGTGTTCTCCTTTTTCATTTAATTTCACTATCCTTCCACAAAAGGAAGCCGGTGAAGGCTATTCCTCTAACTGTGCTTCATTCACAGAAGTTTAGCTTCTTACCCAGTCTTCTTCTATTGAGCCAAGGGAATATTGGTTAAACCTCTGGGAGGTCTTCATGCCCTCTCGCTGCTGCTGCTCCAAATAGAACTCCTGGAGTGCAGCCAACGCATGGGATGAAAGCTGGGGAATGTCATCATCGTCATCATCCATTTTTCTAGATGTCAACCAGAGAAAAATTAAATTAACTCTTTTCAGTGGTGAACACTTAATAATGGCATACTCTGTCGAGGTAAAACAACCTCCACCAACACTGCAGACTTAGTCTAAAGCTAACTAGGAAAACCTCCTAACTACAGAAAACACTCCCTCGACTTGGCGGCTCTTAAACCAACACAAGGCAGATTGGAAATAACACTCCAGAGAGAATCCAGGAACAGCAGCAACACTGTTGCCTTTCTATACAACACAGATTTGGCTTGGATTCTTACAGGGAAGTTGTCATTATAGTTCTTGATTTCCTGAATCCATACACCTTTTTTATATCAGCTTGTAGGAAAAAAAAAAAAAAAAAGAAAAAAAAAGCTTTAGTGGATTTGGCAAATCCTATAGAAATTATTTGCTTCCCTCCCAGAAATTATGATGGCTACTGGTTATTCCTTCCCATGTTCATAAGTCACACAATTCTGACTCAAAATGAAGTAAACTAGTGCTCTAGGATCAGCATCACCTGCCTTTTACTTCAACACGATACAAAGATTCCTCTGAATGCCAGAAATCTACAAACAAAAGCAGGCAAGCAGCTCAAAAAGAGCTGCTGTTTTTTCTAAGATAACACCACTTGTCTGGAAATTTGTGTATTTTGTGCATAAAAACACAGACATGGTCATAATTAATGTCAAAAAGACACAGTATATGTTAAGGGAAAAGTACAATCATTTTCAGAAAACTCTTGCAGTGGGTTACGTTGCACAGCACCACTGAACCCTGCACACCTCCAGCAGGGAAGCAGTATCTGTCCAGAGGGAAAGCAAAGCGTTGGTGTCCTTCCCAGAAGAGACAGGGCCAGCTGCTAGAAAGAAAGGGACAAAAACAGGAACCCAGCATGTGGAAAGTACTGGAGAAAACTGCAGAAAGATTCTTCTCTCAAAAAACACATTTTCTCAGCATCTGATCTAAGAACTAGTACATGAGCAATGACTTTAACAGAACTTGGGAATGGGCATACGCTGCCTTTCTGCAGAAGTCACCAAGAACCACGTGTCCTCTGAACTGTGTGCAACCTCAAAAGTTAAGTATCATATGTAGCAGAGTTGCTCACAGTTTTCCTTCTCCCTGTTCTTTGCATGACAAGAACTGCAGAATTCGCAGTCTCCTCCCCTTTCACCCTCCCCTCCATGCTGCTTGCCCTTGCAGAGCTTTCAAAACATTTCCTAAAACATAGCTTCTCCCTGCTTGCTGGAAAAATGGTACCACCAGCCTGCCACTGTACGATAACCCATCACCTTTCACTAAAATAACGAGACTGCCATTCCGCCGACACGGTGCCCACCTACGCGTGGTATGAGAAAAGCTCATGGCTTTTCCAGGGCATCATTTATTGATGTGCTCACTTCCCAGGCTGGGTTGGCCAAATAGGGAATCCTTCAGAGCCTAAAGACCCTCCTATGCTATCTACCTCATGCAAGAGGAGAATTCTGGAGTCAAGCTACCTAGTGAAAACAAAAGGGCTAATTTTGTCCCTACTTGTTTTAAATTATGTATTATTTAAAGTATTTTCTATAAAAAATGAGTGCAAGTTCACACAGATAATATAGTTTCTAGTAACAAAGCAATACTACAATCTATTTTTGGCCCTATACAAGAACTTTTTTTGTTAGGATATATGTTAGAAGTTTAAAATCACTCCTCATCTCACAGCTTTCTTTTTTATTAAGTGCATCTTACATGTAGTAACCTGGTTTCTATTATCCCCTAGGCCTTGGCACTAAGAAACTGAAACAAATGCAAACTTGCAGTTCTTAAACACTGACATTTTTATTTTATATTCAGGGAACCCATATAGGCATTTGCGAGGACAAAACACGTGCCCGTGAAATGAAGCCCTCACAATTACTGATCATTTCAGCAGATAAAAAGGCACACAGCCGTAGACAGCTATTTATTTACTATAAGTATTTTTTTAATTTATTTTTTTAATAGCCTTCCTTTTGGTTTGTAAATTAAAGCCTTAGGAACCAAGCAGTAATTAACTGTGAGGTTGCAAGGAGAGGTAAGTCAGACCATATGGTAGAAATATTATGTATGTCTATTAAGAACACTTTCAAAAGTCAAGATATTTTTCTGAACATATATATATTGCCTACACATACTGACTTAGGTCATCAGCATGAAGACATTTTCATGCTCAAAAACTACATCAGAAAACTATTAAAGTGAGTCAGTTTATGTGAACAAGACTTGTAAATTCCTTTGGCTTCAAGGGAGTAGAAAGTTGTACTGTTTGAAAGTCCCTCCATACCCCTCCCAGGAAGTTCACTGCTCTTGAGTCCAGAAACAACCCTGAAAGTTTTGGGGGAGGAAGGAGAGAAACCCAAGGTGCCTCTGGTGCTTAGGGAATACTCAAACTCCCTTAACTCCCAAGGCCCCTGAGCCCTGTGAGAGCCAGGTGGGGATTCGGGGTTGCATTTTAGCTATGTCCAGAGCGCTCATAACACATACAGTGCTGATACAGCCACATTAAATATGTTAAATCCTGGTTTTAACAGGAATACAATGTGTGCCACTAGCAATTTGACAAATCTTCTATACTATTAATTCTTAGCTCAAGTGTTGCATTTGCACCTAATTAAAAACAATTAAGAAATCAGATCTCCACGAACAGCTCAAGAAGAGAGTTGGGAAGAATAAGACTCATGGTGAAGACAAAGTTCATCTAAAGAAAGCAGGAAAAAAGTGGGTAAGCTCTCACAGATACAGGGGAATAGAACAGGCAGGGCTGTATTCATACAGTAAAGTGGCAAATTTGAATGCCACTGATCTCTAAAGGGCCAGATTTACCCATAAAACTGGAAAAGAGAGGTAACTACAGCTACACCACATGGCCTACAGCTCACACGGGATGAAGGGGGTGGAGTTGCCTGCAGATCCTTAGTCCCATCCCCTCTGCAGCTCAACCTCTCTTAGCTGGTTCAGGTGAATATCATCACTGCAGAGTGAAAGCTCTTCAAAGAAAACAAAAACCCCAAAAAGAGATCATACCAAGTAAAAATTGTCACAGAGGAGACTCCAAGGTCTTGTCTACGCAAGAATACTGTACCTATTTTAACATTAGTTTCCAGCTGTCACATATAAAAACTCTATATAGCCAAATCCTAAAGTGGAGAAAATAAAACTACCAACTTAGAAAGAAAAATTAACTCCCTCAAAAATTCCTACAGTTTTTTGTCCTTTGTACATCTGGTCCATCCATAATTGTCAAGTTATGATCATGTGGAGACCAGTAATCTTTGAGGTAAGAGTGCAGGTTCTATGCCCAAATGTAACTGTGTGTCTCTACCCAGAGAGAGGTTTGGAAACCTGCAGTCACCAGGTTTGATGTGTTTTTCTGGCTGCTACCAAACTCTGATACAATGTTTTTAGAAAATCACACATCATAATCCCAAAGTCTCCTGCCTGATCGGGAATGGTGCCTGATGAGAACATGATTAAGTAGAATCTACAAAGTAATTTAAAAGGATCTGTGAAGAGCTCAAAGATATCAGCACATACAGAGCAAAACTGAACAGCAGTTTCCGTCCTTTAATCTCGACAAAAAGCAGAGAAAACACTGAAACTAGAAAAGGTCCAAGAAGGGTAGTGAGACAAAGACTAGAACAACTTTTGCAGGTGAATATGAGGAAGATGTAACTCAGAAGTGGTATGAACAGAGGCTGTAATCATGAGTGGCAAGAATCAGAAGGCAACAAGTGTGGGCTGCAAGAGCCTGGTTAAAAAAAAAACAAAATCAAAAGGAGCTGTTCCTTGTCACAAGGTGTTGCTGAGCTACAGAATCGCCTCCAGTTGTGAAATTTCATAGTGCTTCAAAGTGAAACAGAAAAGCTTATAGACAAGAAACTCTCAGAGGATTATTACACACATACAAACTGCATGGGATTAAAAAAGCCAACGTCTGGAGGCCGGGTGGCTACTTGAAGAAAAGTATGATGAACTCTAGCCCAACTGTCATCCCTTTTAATAAGCACAGTCAGAGAGGGAGATTGAGCTGGTCTAAGAGGAGACACAGTTTTTTATTAAGAAAGCCCTTTTTTCGCGCTTGCTTCGGTATTTGCTTGCTTTCAAGCGCCCACTGCTGCAAGCGCATACGCCCGCGCCTCCCCTGGTGCGAGAGGTTACTCCGGAAAGCCGAGCCCACGGCCTCGCACCAGCGCTCTCCTCGGCCGCCACCTATCCCGGAGCAGCGGGGA